GTTTTCATATTTTATTAATCTTGCTGAATATGTTTAATTTATATACTTAAACTTACTATCTTACTTTTTATTATAATTATCATATTACTTTTGTTGTATTAATAATTTTGAAAATTAGTTTCTAGTGATATCCATAAAAATGATGATATAATTATGGAAATAGTTTATGTCTTATCTATGACATCAACTTTTATGCTTATTTCTGTATACATTGTTATCAAATAGTAAATTGCGATAAACTTATTATTAATTGAATAATCATTTTTACATTTATTTCACTCTACTATGTAATATTGGCGTCCATTTCAATCCAATTAACGTCTAAATGGCTTTAAGTTTGGCATTCAATTAACGAGAGATTAGATTTGATTTACAATTTGGTTCACAACAACTGTATTATTAACAACTGGGAAGATAGTCGTCGACAACAATACTTTTTTGCATTTATTTACAATATTTTGTTTAATTGTATTTCAAAACATCAATTGCTAAACATTTTAAAAAAATACAGTATACTAATGTAATTTTATAAAAAAAAATGTGCTATCTATTTTTTTAAAAATCATTTACAGTAAACATTTTAAAAGTACCATATAACTTATTACTTATTAATACTGTTTGCGTAATTTTAGAATTATTTACAATTACAAATTACAATTTAAATTTACAATTCAATATATAAACTTGTAATTTAAATGTATTTTATAATTTAATTATAAATAATCCAAATGAAAAATAACTGCTATTGTAATTTAATTATAATCAAACCACGAAAATTGAGAAAACAAACATATTTTATACTTTAATTTAATTGTAAAATTGAATTAATTTTTTGCAAACTTTAAATCAAAAACACAAATATTAACATTTAATTGTATTATACATTTTATACAAGAAAAACCAAATTGAATAACAATTTAAAAATAGATTTTAACAATTATCTTACAATATTCACATATGAACAAGGTTATGTTACATTAAGTTAGGATATAATTTACAAAATAATTTACAATTATATAATTTATTCTTAATTAAGAAATAAATAATAATAAAAATTAACAAATTATTTACAAATTTAATTAAACACTAATTTAACCAAACGTTTCGTTTTACGGCAATTAACAAAACCATACATACGTTGGAATTGAAAGCAAAACTGTTTGAAATAGAGAAAACCGGAATCGCATTCAATTTGAAAGTAATTAAACAGAATATTCTGTATTCGCAACGATTGCACGGATTCTATGCCGAGTGAATGCATTGAAAATGAGGTCTCTTTCACGACCCGCAGGCAAACTGACCGTAGTTTCCGGTGTTTGGCCAACAAAGACATCACGTAATCAATGACTACATCCGCGCACACCATCTCCAGGTGCCGGAGACGGGGCGCCGACCGATGACTGTCGACCATAAACTGGCGATTTGTCTGCACCGGGAACTGGAGTTTCAATGTATGCAAACCGCGACAATTGAGGGCATAGTTTGTGTCCCATTGAGCGACGGGTCGGTTAAAAGACAGCACAAGTTGTTTGAGACCACAATATCCGCTCTGCAGACCAGAGAAACAGTGTTGCACTTCAGACAGCTTTGTGTCGTCGACTTTGAGGCTGAAGGACACTAATTGTCGGCAATTTTTTCCAATGTTGGCCACCGTTTTGATCCAAATCGCGGACTGTGTGTCAAAGCATTTGTTAATACAAACGCTTAAGACTCGTAGACTTTTGAATTGAGAAAGTATTTCAATGCAAATTTTATGGTCAAATTTAACGCCAGACAATTGGGTGTAATGAATGTCCAGCGATCGGAGTGTCGGAGAGATCTTTGTCACAAACGTGTCCAGTAGTTGGCCATCGATGGCGTTATCAACAAACAGATTGTCAATCCGTTGGAGATACTTAAACGCAGACAATGTACTCACGAGTGGTACCAATGTATCTAACTTTACATTACTTATGGTCCGAACGTTCTGACAGATGGGCAGCAAATGTCTGGCATCGGCGGTATAGTCGTCGCTGGGTTTCATAGGATTAAACTCAATGGCCCGCAACCGGTGGCCAAACGTCTGATCAAATTGCATCAAAAGACTCGGACAGCAACCAATCAATTGCAGACCAACTGATATCAAATGCGGACAATATTTTATGATTTTTGCCATAATTGTGTCAATATTTCCGATTTTGCCAAAGATTGTCAGCGATTGCAAGCAATGGCACTTCCGGATCAGTTGTACGAAGCGTTTGACAATTAACTTTTGCCCGCCGCGGAAGATCAGTAGCCGCTTGTCTATGGCGTCCGATCCGTGAGCTTTGGCCCTGTATTTGATGACCACTGAGTGCTGTCCGCCGAAGACTAAACGTTGGAAGCGTTTGGAAAGACATTCGTAACGAAATTTGTCGCCAATTGTTAGATAACTGGCAATCAATTCATACAAATCGTCGCCAAATCGGGCCTCAAATGAGTCTCGAATTTGAATGTAAAACATTCAGCGAATTAACAAATTGTAGTCAAAATAACTCAATAAAAACTTATGTTTTAAATCACTCGAGTTAACACTTTGAATAAATGCTTGATTAACATGAGGGTACTCCTTATATTGAGAACTATACTTTAGATTGTTACAAGTTATAAATTATAAATGATTAATATAAAATTAATACAATAATTATAATTATAAAGGTTACAAATAATTTCCTTAAAATATAACAGTTTAAAAATATTTAATATTTAATGAGTTATGATACTAAGCAAATTAGTTTTCAAGACTAATCCCTAAATCAATATCTTTTTTATACAAACTTACTTATATATCTTTCTGTATACTAACCTTATTAAATTTATCCAATAATGTACTAATCTTTTTAAAACTAATTAATAATGTATTTCTAAACGTGGGCTTTTGTTGTACTTATTTATGCAAAATATACAGTAATATTTCCAAAAGATTTCCATCAGATTTTAATTTTCAATAATATTTAATACAATTTTGATTTTAAAAGGATTTTATTTGTAAGTTTAATAATCATTTTCATAAGACATCAGAAATGTATAATAAATTTTAAGGAAATGTTTGAAGAATTATATAAACATAACTTTGAAATAAAATCAAATAAAATGAAAAACCGCTTAAAAAGAAGTATTAATTGATGTTTTGATTAAATTTTAGGAAAATTATCTGTAGAAATAAAAACCAATTGAATTTACAAAATAATGTGCAAATAATGGTTAACATAATATTGTTTAACAAACAAATTACAAAATTTAATACACATTTCAATCATATAATTAACCGATAAATCAATCGTACACTTCATTCATACGCTATAAAATACAATAATTTTTACGTAATGTTTAAACAATATTACAATATTTTTCAAAATTTTTAAAATTAAAACAAACAAAACATAAAAAATAGACAATTAAATGCTTTCATTGCAAACAAAACCAAAATAAAAATAAAATACATCTTTTCCTATGATATTCACAATCCTTTATTCAATTTTTGCACTTTTTCTTTATATAATCAACTAATGGTTCGGATATATCGATGATATTTTATCATAATCTCTTTTTTACATTACATAACAAACAACCACACCATCTCTCCCCACACACCTCACCCCACATCACTCACTCCCTCCTATCCCTCTCTAAATAAGTACAGCACCCCATGGGTTGTGTCCAGTAGTCTATAGACCGGACCAGTAAATCAGGCGTTTGTCTGACATTCTTGTGGCGTTAAATATGGGCTCAGCTTTTTGTGTTGGCTTTAAATTTCTGGAAACCCTATCAATAAATCACTCGATTGTATTGTGACCTCTATTTCTCGGTTCGAAACCCATATATTGTAATCCAATTTCATCCCAAACACCAGTAGCCTATGGTTAGCATAGATAGGGGGCTAATTGTGTACAGCAATGACAGACTTTTTCACCATAAATAGTCACTCTCTCCTCCCTCTTCTCTCTCTCTCTCTCTCTCTCTCACGGAAAATATATAATACAATAACAAAATTGTGCTAAAAATAACATCAAATTTGTTTTTAGTTTAAGAATTAGATTACTATTTAAAAAGTGTTTTCTGTTATCTGTTGTCAAATACGAGAAGCAATACAATAGCAGATATCGACTCCACAAATGTGTTTGTCATTGAAAACACATTCTTTAAGACTGTTTTTTATATAACATTCCGGGTCTAAGAAGTATATCAAGTATTTTATCGTTTATTCCTATCCATAGATATATTGTATAACATATAACATAACTATTCATTTTTTCCTAGAAAAGCACTTTTCAATATATTTTTTGGTTATAAACACATTACTTAAAGTCAATATTCTGCATATGTATTGTTCATTATATCGAATATTCACTAATAGTGTTTTGTTTTTAAGAAATGTACATTCTTTAAAAATATATGTCGATTATAATTGACTAAAATAATTAAGACTTTAAATCTAAAACAACTCATTTTCTATTTGTAAATGCATTGATAAGATTGAAGAGTAAATCTTAGAAATATAAGTAAAACAATGTTTACTTAATTAATGAGATTATAAGTCAAGAAACCTTATTTTGAATTATAATTGTTACTATTATATTGTTTTAATAATATAATTATATTATTTTAATGAACATTTTATGTATCATGTTAGTATTTATTGTTAATGTTTGTGTTGTATTTGTCATAATAATAATTAAATATAATATAAAATTACAATTAAGTAATAATAACAGTGTTTATAATCGATTTGCAATTATATCTGTCAAAATCAATATATAATATATAATTTTTTCATTTCAATAAAACTCTTATAATTAGATTTACTTAATAATCTTACGGTAAGTATCAATAAGAATATTCTGTATATAATTGTATTGAATTGATGTGTATATAATTGGAGACCAATAGAAGAGATGCAAAAAATACCGATCAAAAAATGAGTGAAAAATCGGATAATAGATCCAAATATAAGCGTATAAACGATGGGGGAGTGGGAGGGGTAGAGATCGGGGTAAAGGGTATGGGTGTGAATGAGGGTAAAATTGGGTGTGAAAGTGCTGTATAGGGTATGGATATGGGGGGCGATGATAGGGTGAGGGAACAGGCGATGCAATTCAGTCGAGCAGTCGAATAACACAGATAACCAGATCTCCCAATCCGTTCAACAACTTTTTCGACGTCGACTTCTTCTTAGCAATAATACCCGCATTGGAGCCGACGTTCGCATTACTGGCCGCTCCGTTGGCCGACACGCTATCGGCTGCCAAACCCATCGAAGAGGACGGCTGGTCCGCCGCCGCCGCCAGTCGTCCCTCGAGACTCGGCCGCTCCACAAACCGCCGGCGGACGTCCAGTTTCCTGCCCGTCAAGTGTACGGGCATTGGCACCTGTGTATCACCGGTCAGGCGGGCCAACAGCGCCTGTCGTTCCCCATCGGACAGCAGATCCGAGGCGTGCGGACCCCTCACAAACTCGTCGACTGACATCGTTAGATAGCGCGGACAGTACAGCGCTTTGCCCAATACGGCCCGCATATTCTCGCCGCTCATCTCACGGCACTGTCGAGTGCACTGTTGACACGACCAGCGCCTGATTGACTCGAACACCACCCACTCTGACGGCACGTCCAACGTGTCCCGCGACAGTATCTTCACCACAAGATCGTGGTCTAAGTTGGCGAACCCGTCCGACATTAGTATGACTGCCGCCGACCTGTCGAGGGTATAGTAGCACCGAGTGATCAGTTCGTTGAGTATATTGTCGCAGTTGTCGGCGAACTGTATCGATGATTGCCGGTTGCAGTGGACGGGCGATCCCATGCCTCCGCCCGACCCCACAAAGCTCTGGAGGTCGGGGTCCAGAAAAGTGGGCCTCAGATACGAGAACTGCGAAAAGTGGGACAACATCTCCAACACGTTATCCACCGAACAGTTGTCGTATAGGAATGTGAGACAGAGTCGGCACAAGTCGTTCAGCAGAAACTGATTGCCGGCCGTGAAGAGTGTCAACGCGTTGGGCACCGATGTTATGCTGATCTCTGCCGTATAGATGTGTCTGTAATTTGAGTGCAAAATAAGATTTTTGTTTAGTTTAAGACTTAAGGGGTTTTAAAATTCTGGACTATAGTCTCAAAGTGTCAAATGATATTTAGGTAAAATTTTAGTGAAATTATTTATTATATTACAATTCTATTTGAATCACTTTATATACACACTTGTCGTATAATTTCAATAATTTGATACCAGCAGCCATTAGCAATGTAAATTAATTGCTATGTAATAATTTATAACAATTTAATTATATTTTAACTTAAATAAATATCATTAACGCAAGTTTTTAAATGCTTGCAATTAATTATTTCAAGCAATTTATTAAAAATTATTTGATATTTCTAATGAAAACATGAAAAATATTGTTCATTATATTTATGGCCTTTTATAATATAATATTTGGATTTAATATCCCTTTAATAACAAATTATAATAAATTTCCTTTGAATATAATTAATTGAAATCTAAACTAAAAGTCTATTTATGAAAATAATAGTAATAATATTTTGTTATCAATTTTTCTCACAACAAAATAATCATAATATAATAATTACAGACATAATAGTCTAATAATTTGCGTATTTTAAATAAATATTACACTATCTGTGTTATTAAAACTATGTAACGCTTTTTATATGATTATTACCATGTATAACTGCATTAAATCATATAGGGCAGTAAATAATTGTGGTACATTTATACTGATAAATAATACAATCAATCAAACAATAAAAAGCCTATAAAAAGTATACTATATTTAACAATACCTGAGAATAATGCGAAAGATCTCTGGTTTGCAATAATTAATCTTTTTGGTGATCTGTCGGTCGACGGCAGCGGATGACCGGTCGGTGCTGTCGACGATGGCTTTGAAGATAGGACTGGCGTTTTCAACGATAAACGAATGCGCGGGGAATCGCCAAATGTTGGCCTCGTCTTCGCCCACCAGAAACACTATATCCGACTGCTCTTCGCTGTTGAACAGCACGAGTCCAGGACTGGGAGCCGACGGCTGATGTGTTACCACTACTGAGCTCTCGTTGGGCGCCATCGG